AGTATATGTTCGTGAATTATTATTGCTGAAAAAAAATGGTAGTATATGTGTAAGAATGAATTATTGATATTATTTAATTATATCATTGCAAATAAATATCAAACCTTATTATGTGTTGCAAATTTGTCTCAAAACCATTTTTCGGCCAATTCTTGACGTATCCGATCAGAAATTTTACGTAGCACTAATGAAGTTTGTATGCCATTCAACCTTTCGACCACCAAGAAAAAACCCCAAAATCCAAAAATCCTAAATTTTGAACCCCTTCACAATTTAAACCCTAAAAATGCAAAACAGAATTAAAATTTACCTGTTCACAAAACAGGTAAAGCCTCTCATTTATATACTTCACACAACATTAAAATCGCCTGAAAATTCCCTGAAAATCACCCCCTCTACCCAATTTTTCAGAATTTAGGGGTGAGCTCGTAAATGTATTCGGAATGTTGGAGGTGATGAACTCGATTTTTGGGGGTGAAGAATCGCACCATGGAGAACAGAAGAATCGCTGCAATTTTTTTTTTTTTTTTTTCAATTTGGGGAGAAGAACTCGAATTTTTATGAAGAATGGAGCAAAAAACATGTTGATAAAATCCTATTTTTTCAAATTGTACTAAACCCTATTTTTGATTAATTTGTTGGCATATGATTGTGGCAAAAACATGGTGAGGAATTTAAAAGGTTGAGTGCCACACAAGTCTCATCAGTGCCACGTAAGATTTCTAATCGGACACGTAAACAAGGATTGGCCGAAAAATAGTTTTGAAACAAATTTGCCACACATATTAAAAGTTTGGTATTTATTTATAAAGATAAAAAACAAAAACAATAGTATATTTTCTAAGGATTATTAGAAAACTTAGACAAAAACAATGAATAAAAATTCAAATCCACGTCGTTGTAGTAATAAGGTTATTCATCGGGATGATTGGTGCAGGCATCACCCACGTGGCAAATCTCGTAAGGCAAAGCGCATCTTCGCACGAGTATCTTCCATCATCCGACTGAAACTTCCCGTCCCTCAAAGAGTAGAAAACGGCACTGCCGCCGTAAAATTTGGGCAACCGGATCGTGTTAGCCGTGGCTTCCGTATGAGCCATGGCACCAAATGATGAAAATGCGCTAAGGTACAACACTTTGTCCCCGAAATCCTTCACTAAATCCCACCACATCGACTCCTCCAAGAGCCTATAGACTCTCACCTTGCGCTCATCTCCGAAGGCAAACGCCCCGAAAAGCTCGTCAAGCCCCTTCACCTTGAACAAGTAGTCCATAGGCCTCAGTCAACAAAGAAAATCATTATATATGGGCTAATAAAGCAAGCGAGAAAATCCATCCTGGAGAGAGTCCCCCCTTCATTATCCGGATTCGATCCCCCGCTAAAGGCCTATCGGTGGCAGGCAGATCTCCTGTCCTTCTATTTCGGACCCCGGACGACTTTTTCGGCTTTTAGGTAAGGCTTCTCGACTATTGGTACCGCGTGCTCTCTTATATAACCCTTTCGGACACGCTTCCATCGAAAGCACTGTTCGTTCCACTTTTGTCATGTTTTCCTTGTTTATTTCATGCTTGTTTTTTCCCCTACTTAGGTATTTTTCTTTGGTTTTTGGTCCGTTTCGAGTCGTCTCGTGCATATCCTTTGTTTTAGTCGTTTTTGGTCTTTTTGTTCGTTTTCTCCGTTTTTCCGTATTTCTTGTCGGTGGTGATGTGCAGGTTTGGTGGCTCGGTGCATGGCCATGCGAGGTCTACTGTTTAGATGGATGAGTTGGGGTCGTGTTGGAGAAGACGGGATCAAATTCCGAGTTCGGATGCGAGAAGACGAACCGAAAACACGATGTGCTGAAATCCTTCACCGCGGCCGCGGAGAAGAGGAAGTCGCGGCCGCGAGATACACAAAAGTTCCAATTTCTGGCTCGGGGAGGTCGCGGCCGCGGAGACGGTCGCGGCCGCGAGATGTTGTTCGCCGCGGCCGCGGGGGTCGCGACAGCAGATTTTTTATTTCGCGATCGTGATCAGTTTTTCATTATCTTTGGACCTAGGTTTAGACTCTCTCTCGTTTTTATTGACTCCAAAACAGATTTTCTCTTAGTTCTTCATAGGATTTGATCTTGGATTGTGAAAACACCAAGATTAAGCTTGTGGATTCGGTATTTCGTGTATTCAACATTGGATTCTTTAATCGTAAGCTTTCATTTCGTTTTCTTATTGATTGAATGGCTTTGATTATTGTGTTTGTTGGAGTTGAATGCATTATGAGTAGCTAAATCCTTTAGTTAGGGTTAAGGGAAGATCGTTCCGGTTTGATTTTGTTTATATGCATGATAATTGCTCAATCCTCTCGAGTTGTGCTTAACCTAGGGTTTTGATGATTGATCACCATCTTAATCTATCTAATCGATTTTAAAACTAAAAAGGGAGAAATCGTTCGATCTAGGCTCGTTAGGAATAAGCTTGTTCGTAATAGTATTGCTTATGTGTTGATTGCTTCAAGAATTGCTTATTAATGTCTATCCTCTTGTTACGAAGAGTTATTGAGGATAGACCTCTAGGTAAGTAGTTTAGCGAAGCATTCAACCGAGCTCTTGATTGCTCGTTAAGTGTATTGAGAACCGGAATTGATCGACCCCGATACCCTAGCTCCTTTATCATATATTGAGTTTGTGATTCCTAGTTTGTCTGCCCTGTTCAATTACTTGCTTTTCAAATTAGTAGACGATAAACAAACCTCCAAACTTGATTTAGAATGTTTAGGATTTTCACTTCTTTTATTTTCCATTTTTGTGCTTGAATAATCGTATAAAATAATCCGGCTGACCTTCCTCGAGAGACACGACCCGGTGTTGAATCTTTGATTTAACTCTGGTAAAAATAATTACAACAAGCACTTGTAATAATAAATACTACAACTTAGGGGTGGCCAGTCCACGGGCCGGGTCAAAGCCCGGCCCGGCCTGCCGAATCCACGGTTCGCAGTTTCATGTCCCTTGACCGGTCCGCATTTTCTAAGGGTCACGGGTTTGGACCGGCCCTGAACCGCTGGGTCACGGACCCGCCGGTTTTTGGCCGGTGCGGCCCGCTAAAAATACACTATCGCCCGTCGCTCAACCCGCCGACCCGGCCCAACCCGCCGGGACAAAAAAAAAAAATAATAATGAACCTTAACCGAACTGCGACCCTACGGGTCCGGTTCAACGAACCGGCCCTTAGGAGGCTGGGACACTTTTTCCAGTAGAAATGAGGACTTCAGCCTATGACAAAGAACAGAATGAAGAATTGGCCCGAGCAGCATTGGATACGATTGAGGAGCTAAAGTAGCATGCCGCAACTCGGGTTGCAGCGTATAAGCAAAGAATGCGGATTGCTCACGCCAAAAAGGTCAAAGTTTGCGGTTCCATGTAGGCAACCTGATCTGCAAAAGGGTCGATGTGCTCAAGCATGTGGGCAAGCTCGAGCCCAACTGAGAGGAGCTGTATGTGGTCTAACGTGTCCATGCAGGAGGAGCCTATTCATTAAAGGATGCCGACGGTAGACCACTTCGAGGTCATGGAACTTTATAAACATGAAGAAATATTATGAATAATTTTTTTTTTCTTTTTTGATTTTATGTAATTAATGAACTTGTCGATATTAATGAAGATGCTCGTTATTATCAACTGCTTGTGTTCACTGTGTTTCAATTGACCTCAATGGTAGGTCATTGTATAAAGAGTTCAAAACTCCAGCATGATTAAGGCCTCCAGACAGGCTGGTCGACATCAAAGGACGGTTGTGTTTATGTTCAATAATAAAAAAATCTAACATGATTAAGACTTTCGAGCTAGCAAAACCTCAGGTCATCTATTTAGGAATACTTTTCGAAGCTTCGTTTACTAACTAGTCGTCAAAGCAAAAAAATAAAAAATAAAATAAAATAAAAATTAAAGTTCTAAACATCCTATGCAAGATTGGGTTGGTTGATTTTAAGATAATTTTAACTAAGAATTTAAGAGCTAATAACTAAAGATGCAAGCTTTAACGAAAGATTCAAACTTTACCTAAAATAGACTCTTCAAAACTCGAGAAAATATAAAAACAAAGAGAAACGAGCTAAGTCCAACATAACTAGAAGCTAAAGTCGAACGGAATTGATTGATAACTGAGTAATTCAAATTCTCGGGCCGTCTCTCAAGGAAAACTATACGGAACTTCGTTCACTAACTAGTAGTCAAAGCATAAAAAGGAAAATTAAAGTCCTAAAGATTCTAAGCAAGATTGGGTTGATTGATTTTAAGCTAATTTTAACTAAAATTTAAGAGCTATTACCCAAAGCTGCAAGCTTTAACCAAATATTTAAACTTGACCTAAAACGGAGTCTTCAAAACTAGATAAAAGACGAAAACAAAGAGAAATGAGGTAAATCTAATATAACTAGAAGCTAACGTCGAACATCCAATTACAAAATAACCGACCTTTTAACAAAGTTTCGATTTTTACTTTGAAAGATTCAACCTTTAACCAATTAAAAAAAAAAAAGAAGATAAAAACATTAACAAAAACCAAGTCAATTCACATGAATTCCGACCAAGACACCATTTTTACCTCATACACGTTGTAAGTAAAAATAGAGCAACATCGAAATAATAAGTCCTAAACTAGGTAATTACTTTTCTATTGCATGCCCGGGCAAAATAAACGTGAAAAATTCGAAACATTAATAAAAACGACATCGCCGAAAAACGCAGGTCTTGAAGCTCTAAACATAAACTAGATTGAGAAAATAAACAAAGAGTTAATTCTAGAACTAAAAAGTTGGGAAATGAGGGATTGGTTCGAAAATACAGAGGAACAAGTCACCACAAACATACACTAAGATACACATTTAATGAAAACAACACTTCATGGGTAGACAAAACTGGATTCGCGAGTTTTTCCTTGGTCTGATCGAGGTTCGCGCGATCGCCAATAGAGGTTCACACTTCACAGCAAATGTGCCTGAGCGTGCGGACTATTGTGGGGTCACGAGTCGTGCTTCGCAGCGAGTGCAGGTGAGGCTGGATGAGTGACTCGCGCGCATGCGGAAAACGCTTTGCACGAGCCTTAACAAACCAGGACGAAACAAGCTCATAAGCGACTCGTTTTGATTAACATTATGTCAAGAATTGTTCATTCTCCTTTTATCTTTTCTCAAATGACGCTGATAATAATAGGAAACATTAATAAGAAAAAAAATATTATTTTATGAGAAATGCTATAGATACATAATATTGTACATAGATGTGTGCATACGAATCACATTAAGTGGGTCCTACCAAAAATAAATAAAAAATTCAATAGACTCCACTCCATGTGAGTATTATTTACACCTCTATGTACACTTATCATATACTTGTAGCATTTTTCTTATTTTATTACCCTTGCTTTAATTTATTCAAAACATTAATAAAAAAAATAGTGCCCGTGTGCACTAAATCCTTTTGACATATAAAATTGTCAAAGAGACCCACAAAGGAAAAAAGAATAATTTTTCCAAGTAGCCCCAAACGTTTTGTTTATTAATCTCTGGACCTCCTCTTTGGAGAAAAGTTGCAGTTTTCCACCTCGGTCCAACTCCTCGTTCTCTGCATGATTTAATGCCTTATGTTCAAGAAAATGTTGAACACAACTTAAACAAAGGATATGTTTCACAAAAATTATTGTATGATCTGTTAAAAAAGTCAATTCACAACCTCAGATATACTTTTTCAATTTGGCATTATGTATATATGGTGAAAAAATATGTTTGGTCAATTATTAGTCAACAAAAAAATATGATTATTTAACCGTTAGACACTAATGTTGCCTTACCATTTGTTATACGTTTCCATAATTGATTCTCAAATTTTTTCTCCTTCCACAAATTATGAGAATGAAATAAGACATTTTAATTGAGGAGATATCAATGAGAACTGAAGACAAAAAATTGAATCGAATATCTATAGCAATCGTAAAAATCTCGATAATATACCGAACTAATCGAATTCAATTCGTATAGTAGTCGCTTCAATATCTTCAATCTTTTGATTAGTAGCCATATCATTCTCAACAACTTCTTGAAGTTGAACTGTAGAAAAAGAACGAAAGTTAATCTCAAGGATTATATGTTGAATAGTTACTAACATATATTCATTTGCAAAATTTATCACTGGATTCATAGTTTTTCTTCATTTGTGCATTAGAAAATTTCTCCCTTTTGCTAAAAGGAGTGAACATTGAGTTTTCATGTTTGCTCAATTTGACAACATATTACCTTTTTGAA